ACGAAGATTCAAATGAACAGGTTGCCTCTTGCAATTTTGTGACTTTCGTCAGGCAAAGGCGGTTACGGAGTGGAGTAATCCTAGGTTCTCGAACTAAGGCAGGGGTAGCAGTCAATTCAATGGTCAGACCATATCACGGAAGCTGTGAGCTAAAGGAGTAATGGTCTTTGTGCTCATAGGGATGTCCACCGTATCATATGCGCTCGGAACAGCGACAGGTGGAGATTAGTTGGCGACCGCTAGCCCGCTCAAGAGAGTTGGTGAACTTAGTGACTTCAGGTAAAAAAAGTCATCTACAGTGGAAAAAGCAATAGACTAAAAAAAACAGTCGGAGACGTTAGATCTCTAAACAAACTTCGTCTACGTGATGGCCGAAGAAGTCTCGTGGTTTTCAAGGGTCTTTGCAATATAATCAACTAATGTGAATGCGAGCAGAGGCTCCGTTGCAGAATGCCGACTCTAAATAATTTAGGAGCAACAAGTTTAGTCAAAACGCTCGCAGTAGAGCTCAGAAAAAGTATTTTTGAACTGAAATCTGACTTACAATGCTGATATTGGTCGTTTGAGCAGCTGTTAGAGCAAGCGAAACCTGGACCGCTATAAAAGGTGTGACGGTAGGAACGTATTTCCATTGAGAATATGGCTATTGGTAAGAAATGGCTATCCTTGTAATCGAATTGTTGAAAATATCTTCGGCAACGTATAGATTGGAACATACCGAGAGATGCAACTAGGATACCGACCATTTCTCAACGATGTACCATTCGAAATGATTTAAAGAGTAGTTGCTCCCGTCTCTGCGAGTGGAAGCATTCCACACACAAAGTAAGCGAAAGAGAGTGGTCGATCGCTGACTATGAAGCCTAAAAAGATAAAAATGATCATCATCATTGCAGATACTCAACTCACATTCATTCGAATTTATCAGGGACTTACATTTTTATTTGAACCGCCTACTGATACATAAATCAAGGCAGTTATTGTTCTATTATACCTGAGAGCCTTCCAATAATTGTAAAAGGGCTAGCCAGCAAGCTTGGCCGAGACGGGTTGCTACGGTATTCGACGTCGACAGTATGCTGACGGCTTCACTTTAGCCACCCTACCTCGACACCTCGATCTCTCATCAACAACAATGAGAAAAATCTGTGGTGGTCCAAGAAAAGTATGAGGTGAGAATCTCGTTGTTATTGTGCTACTACCGGGCCACACACGGGCCAATAGATCCGGTTTTGAGCCGGTATTGGGTCCTCGAGGCTGAATATCACATTCACCTCAGCCTACATATCAATTCATCGCATTTATTCGATTACCAACTTGCTAGAATCTTATCTTCTTAATCTTATTGTGAACAGTTTCCCAAGACAACTTCGTTCTTGCCTATGCTTGAGATTTTCGTCATGATCAATCTAATTCAAACGTCGATTGAGGTGTGACAGCGTATAGACAATTTTACAAACGGTATGAAGCACTTACCAATTAGGAGGCACCCAGACCTGGTGAAAGGCTACACCTACACAACCGATAACTGTGCTCCATGATCGACGTCTGCTACGTGGAAGCCAGGCTGAGCTTCGAGAGAAACGGCCATATTTGCTTAACCATGCTTAATTCTCTCGAGCACTAACAACCAGTTCACAAGCTTCACACATTTTCAAGTCCACTTAGGAGAGAGCATAGTTTTTCCTGTCGGCCACGAGGATAAAAACTTATACATTTATTGAGACTCTTTTTAACGAACCAGGGAAAATAGCTTCTCGATATTTACAAACTACTCTATCGATCTACTCAACATAACTCTCCTATTATACACATACAAAATAGATTATTTAAAGAGTCCCTATGAACTCTGGTAGATACATGACAAATGATTCTGAAAAACTATCTAAAATCATAACAAGCTACTCAGAGTTGAGTTTTTCTCGCAAACTGAGTAGAATAGCGATGAACAAGGATAGAAATAAAGGTAGTTGTAGGTGCCACCATTGTAGTGGCCAACACAAGTCGCAGCAGAAGACCATCCATTGGAACTGGAAGAGAACGGAAGGATCAGCCATTTCCTGGAATCACTTCAGTTACTCTCAGGTCACACGCTACCGGTGTGATCAATAATATTCAGAAACACCAAATGAGGAAGTTTTCTCTTCCGAAATTTGTTTCCCAAGCAAAACAGATGTATTTCCTTCTATGTCAATATTTTTGCGTGTTGATTATTGTATGAACAACAAACATACAGTTCCGCAGGATCCACCCCTTCATACCCTGCCCACGAAGGTTTTCCGAAGTCATCGTTGGCACTAACACATCTCATAGGCGACCTAAAAGCTGCAGATGTATTGAATTGCAGAAACCAGAGACCCGCTGGCAAACTTACACTCCGTCAGGCCCAGCGACTTGCCATTGAGGATATGAATCACCTTCTCCTTGTCCAAGACCAATCCAGCTCCAGTAGTACGTCTGTGTCTCTTTCATCAATTCGTTCTGCAATGAAAGGAAGTGCCTTAAGGTAGTCAAAGGTGAAGCAACCAACGACTTACGAATTCCTCGACGGAGTCTGCGACAAAAAGCGTTGCTCCCTTCTCACTGCAAGCTCTTTCGGCTTGACCGTAGCTCATTTTAGCCGTTTCTATGTAGTAGCATGAGTCTTGGTAGCGACTCCACCCATCAGGACAGACGAGAGCTCCCTAGAAAAGAATCGAAGTTGGGCACAGCTGTGGTCCACGAATCCTGGTCCTACCTCTGTAGACATCTGCGGTACTGCCGAATACGGTTGCGCAGATGTGCAGCGGCGCCCCATTCTTCCGCAACGGCAGGAACAAGGCCGCTTGGGTGGCTGCGTGGTTGTTGGAGGCTCAGTCGAAGTCGTTGTAGTGGTCGTAGTCGTAGTTGTTGTGGTGGTCGTGGTGATTGGTTCTTCGTAATAAACTTCACAGCAACAGCACCCACATCCGCATGGTTCATCTGAATGCTTTATGTTTCACCCAGTCAGAGCATGCAGACAGTCCCTTCTGCGTGAAGATGGTCGAGAAGGTGGTACTAGTTCGTGCGATGGGATGACGAGATCATACGATTGGAGGAAAAGAAATTTGAAGAAGGGCAAACAGCTGCGACGAGCTTCCAGAAAAAATGATGAAGCTGATCAAGAACGGGTCACCCGCAGCCCATGTTAACTCACTAGTCGTTGTTGGTTTTGCCGTGGTAGTGGTAGTCGTGGTTGTGGTTGTACTAGTTGTGGTGGTAGTTGGCTCCTCGAAAACTTCGCAACAGCAACAACACGATGATGCTCAAAAAATCATTCCGTGAGAGACAGAAGGGAAATGACACACGACTCACGCATTACCTGCTGGAGCTGGCGCTAAAGCAGCAACAGGAGCGGAAACGGCGGTCTCCACCTCTTCTAGGCACGGACCACTGCATCCTAAGCCGCTGCCCTCATCTTGCTCAACGGGAAAAGCGGCAACTTGAAACACGAACACGAACACGAAAAAGGAGCTGCAACAAGAGCAATTCGACAATTTGGAGAGAGCAGGAACCAAGATAGGATTGACTAACCTTGGAGACATAACTACTGGAGTCTACCTAAAGAGGTTCGCGATCCCTTTTATAGGCCCTACTTTTGCCTCTGGCAAACGCCATTACCGGAGATCGTAACACTTGACGAACATCGCCGATTTTGACAAACTCATTGATTCCATTAGTATTTGTCGGAGGAATAATGCTACAAATGATATCAGCATTTGTAATAAATTCTCATTGTTCCATAAATTTTGCGGATCACTTGATATTTCTGTATATCAATTGATATCCTGATTTTTTCATTACTGGAATGAGTCGCCAGTGATCTCTGTGCGTTATCAATATCGCCTAATTTGATCATTACCTGACCCAACATAGAAATACATCTTTATAGGCTTGTCAGTTACTTATATATAGACATAAATAACTGCATTATAGGCGATGTTAGAAACGATGATATGACCTTGGTAAAATATTGTTTTAAGATGCTATGTTGAACTATATCTCATTTTGATTTTGGAGAAACTCCCATGGCTATGAGAATGATGGATCTCTATTGGGATGGTGGGTCGGTGCTACGAGAAGAAGCAATGCTCGTGTTTATCCAGGTAACCCAACTTAGCTCCAGGCGGGAGTAGGCTCCGGTCTATGCAGTGATGCAATAATGCTAGCTTTTTGAACTGTTGGTATACTGCATCAAATAAGGACCGATTAGTTTTCTGTAAGCGTACTGTAAAACCATACAACTACTAGAGAAGTACTAAGTGGTACGTGGCACCTTGAGTTGGGGTTGTGTAGTGGCAATTGGCGCACTAGTACACCCGCATTGTCACGGGTTCAAATCCCGGATCGACATGCTGTTAGACTGTCAAGCCCTCCATCCATTCAGTTTAGGAATTGGCACCATGCCGGTCTGGGAGTATAAAAGCATCAACTTGTACAATTGCTGGCCAGACCCTCCTTCATTACGCAACTACGATTCTGAATTGAAGTCGATTTGGGTCCCCATCTCAGATACGAGGTTGATTGAATCAAAAGGAAGCGAATCATTTCGTACTTCACCAATTCCTCCCGATGAGTGCTGATATGTTAGGAAAGTGAAAGTGTGCTTATTATATGGCCTTCCTGATTGAATGAAGAATCAAATGAAACAGCAGAAAGTTGGGTAATGGCAGTACTATAGTGCGGTTGATTCCAGCTTATGCTTGAGAATGAAACGAAGACAAGGTTTTTGGGTGAGCTTTGACTTGTTCATATTTTCTCATATCCAGAGAATAATATGCGAGGTGCACTTCAATTGCAAAGTCGTCGACACCACAATCCAAAGCTGATTATTTCGACCGCAAGCTTTCCTTACTCTAGCGACCCGACGTGTGACCACTGTACTCTTACAGTTACATAGTTTGCTACCGAGAAATGGTAAAGCTTCATATCGGACATATCCTGTACACTTTTGCTATCTAAATATCCGATCATTTATAGAATCAGTTGTGGGATTGTTTACAACAAATAAATACAAGTGCGGTAGAAGAGTTCATTGCTCAAGTACTTTGCGTCGTTGTTGCCAAATGATAGTATTCAATGGCATTGAAAATCTTGTTTGATATCGCTTGTAGACGGCTGGCTTTGATTGACCGAGTGAATTCGGGATATCCGGCAATTTTCGTCATTTGATCAAGAAGTCGATTGGTGGCGTTCAGTCTGAGATTTTCATCCAATATTGAAAAACTCTTATTGAAAACACCATCACCTTCGTTGAAAAGCTGAAATTCTATATGTTCATATGAAATCATATTCAGGAGAGTAGAAATTCTTTGTTGTACCTCGAGCGCAGCCGCTTCAACATCGTCAGCAGTGGAGCTGCTTTGGAGCTTTATTTGGCTTCGTAGCTGCTTGTACTCGCATATCAGCATGTGTTGGCAGATCTAAACTAACAAATGTCTGAAAGAAGGCTTCACGCTTATTCCATTTGGGTGCTCTCACTTTGAAACTCCTGAAGTTAGTACACCAGCATTGTCACGGGTTCAAATCCCGGATCGACATGCGGTTAGACTGTCAAGCCCTCCATCCATTCAGTTTAGGAATTGGCACCATGCCGGTCTGGGAGTATAAAAGCATCAACTTGTACAATTGCTGGCCAGACCCTCCTTCATTACGCAACTACGATTCTGAATTGAAGTCGATTTGGGAACCCATCTCAAATACGAGACTGATTGAATCAAAAGGAAGCAAATCATTCCGTACTTCACCAATTCCTCCCGATGAGGTTTCAGAAAACTGCTTACAAAATTTCGTTTTTATTTAGGAACTACGCTATTTAGGGAAAGGATTGCCCAGTCGATTGCCCCTTAACTTATCCTTTTATAGTTTTTTCATGGATCACACTGTGTGCATTCAGTGTTCAACGTGCTGACCGACCGACTGGCCGACGTGTTCCTGGCCACGTGTTGGCAACGCAGGACAATTGCGTTCAGGGCCGCGGGAGCAGTAGCGGTATTGAAACACAATTTGTCCTGCGTTGTCAGCACGTGGCCAGCAAGTCGTCGGCCGGTCAGTCAGTCGGCACGTCGTTGAACTCTCAGAGCACCCAACCAGGTCTTTCCAGACCGTCACATTTATAGCTCACTGCGTAGTATGTGGCTGACGAATAGACAAACAGCATGAGTTCTTGGTTTCCTGAATTATGTTGACATTTGCATTGTGAAGGTTTTTCCCGAGGAGAAAGCTATTACTATATGAATCCCAAAATAAACTCAGAGTTAAAAAAATGAACTGTGAAGCTTTGATATTTCCAAGATTGCAGCGAAATACTAGGCTTTCTTCAAATCGTTTACCGTTAGAATCGCCATTTATCATTCTCAGANAAATTCACAATGGAGAAGCTTTACATGTTTGTGTTACACTCTAAAACTTGGGGAAGTAGCGGAATTGGCCCGCCTCAACGGTGGAACACGAGCATTCGCAGGAGGCTATCGAGTAGAAGCGTCAAAAGAAACAACAGATAGAAAATAGTTCCATCTGAAGAACAGTTCAGTGTAAAAGCTTCCAGCGCACCTCGTATCACCATCAAAAGCACCTATGCCGTGGTTACGGCAGAAGAGAAAAAGTCCGAACTTGGGGCGCTTTTCTGCTCACAAAATCCTACCCTTTCATGAGGAGTTTTCCGTGCAACCAAAAATAGAAGCTCCATTGCTGATTTACAGATGACGCTGTGTGGATGCAGTATAGCGGAACATGTGTCGATCATACTCTGGAAGACATCACTCTTTTCGATAAGAAATCCCATGCACACATTATGTTCTATTAGTAAGAACAACAAATTTTTTTTAGAGTTAATACTTATAATCATTTAGTTGATGTCCTAGAACCTCTCGTCGCTGAGAAATTGTTTATTGTAGAAGACTATTGTGGAGGAATGGTGCTATCTTTGGAAGGGCACGATTGTTTGAGCCACCAGGATTAGCAGCCAGCTTGACAGCCATTGCAATTGAAAAAAAATTACCAGCGTGTTCTAGCGTATGGCAAGCCTTCATGACAGGCAGCTCGGGGAGACGGGCAGTAGGAACGGTTTTTTGTAATCGATCCGCCGCGCGCAGCTGTTGCGGACCATTTGCCTCGTCATATCAGTTCAAGCGTTCTTCATAAAGCTCAATCGCTATGCGAGTATTACTTATGGCATGATTCTACTGTCAGTTATTTTGTTGCTGAATTTCTTACTTGCTGCTGCATTCTGCTACATTCCCTCGCGCGCGGCGTCTTTCTCGCCGCGACGCGACAATTTCGTTCCTACTGCACCATACCCGGCGACTCGTGCTAAAGGTCTAAAGAGTAAGATGAGGCGCGAAAAGCCAACATTCGACAGATTGTGTTGAAGCTTTCCTGTTCGGCTTGAAACATGAAACACGACTTGCAGAGAGTCAACTGCGTGGAAAAATGCGGCCATGTTTGCAAGTACTGTGTAAGACGTTTTTGGGAGGAATATGTAAAAGGAGGAAGGCTCCGCTTACTATTGCTAGGTCCCAGAGAGTGATCTCGAGAAAACCGGCATCATCTAAGTAAATTTGATGCTGGGCCCTAAGCAAAACAACATATCAGATGCGATTGCGATTACTTCTATTTCTCTTTTATTCATTTACCAGTCGAGTCGCCCGGCTTACGCCGGGCCTCGTTACTTACTTTTACCGAGTACTTGGAAACTGTAGTTAGGACGAGGGGGGTGGGGTATTGCTTTTGTCCAACACTGAATAAGGGCTAGAGTGCAGAGAAGGGTAGCTAACCTGTACTTAGAAACGGTTCTAGACGAAAGAATATGATTCTAGGCTGAGTAAAGAGGAGCGGCGGGATGGTGGTGGGAAGACTACCTCGCGCAAAAAGTTATAATGAGGTATGAGCTGAAATACAATTGACTCACTCACCTCGGTACCCCTTCCCTCCTAAAGCTCAGATCAAAAAACTGTACATATGTTCACTTCTGAGAAACGTTAATGGGCACATCACAGTTTTGAAGTACGCACTTCATCCCACGTCACTCGTTTCACTCCGCCGTTCTCACGTTACTCCAACAACCTACCCACCAAGTTTCTGCCTTATATGAGGGAAGAGTAGAATAGAGCTAGGTTT